ATCTGAACGGGTGCACAAGATTTTACATCAAGAATTGGATATGAGAAAATTATTCGCGCGCTGGGTGCCGCGCTTGTTGACGATCGACCAAAAGCGCATACGGATGGACATGTCGCGCGAGTGTCAATTGAAGTTTGAATTGCTTCCGCACCTACCCTACTCGCCAGATCTAGCTCCCAGCGACTTTTTCCTGTTTCCAAATTTGAAAAAATTTCTCGGCGGAAAAAAATATAAGTCAAATGCTGAGGTGGAAAACGCTGTAAATCAATATTTTTCAGGTTTAGACAATCAATTTTTTTCTGACGGTTTAAAAAGATGGGAGAAACGTTGGACCAAAAGTATCGAGTTGCAGGGAGACCGTCGAGAAATAAATTTTGTTTTGCTTCAAAATATGTGTTTTTCTTAAAAAGGCCGGAAACTTTTCAAATGACCCTCGTAGTATATATAGAATAAAATATATACAAAATGTATAGAAATGAATAGAAGAATAAAAAATATTATTTTTAATTCTAATTATTTTATTCTAATTGATGTTCGCTTTCTTATCTGGTATTCGCGGGTCCAATAATTATTTTTTCATTTTAAAGATCAAAATAAATAAAATTACGTGATTTAAAATTATAATTAAAGTTGTTAATATAAAAAAATCTAAAATAATATATTGTGGCGATTGCATCGCCACTACTTTGAATTTAGCCCGCGCTTTAAAATATTCGTTACATATGAAATCTGCGAAAGACACGAATAGACGTTGATACGGTAGGATCAGCTGTCCGCCACACAAAAAGATGTCAATATAACTTAAAAACACGCTGACACAAACACGTTGAAAACAACAAGGCAAGGAGAGACAAGAGGGGTCTAGCGACCGCGCGATGGACAAACAGGAGATTCGACTGATACACTCCGACGCGATCAGACGTGCTGATTTTTGTACAGCTAACAGTCGAATAAAGGTGAACTTAGCCTAGACACTAATCGGGATTGAATATCTTATTATCCGGATACCTGCATCCTAGCCGATAAAGTAAAAATAGATTAAATCTGATTCCGAATCCACATATATCCAACACGTACATATAACTACCAAAATATAACAATTAAAGAATTGAAAAAAGTTCTACTGCCAATGTGCCATTAAAATATTATATTCACGTTTTCTTCTTCTGTATATCCAGATACCACGGAGAGTTTAAAGAGAATTCAATCATATGTCATCGATTTTGAGTTCATTTTCAGATGCAAAAAGAATTCTTTTTTTGCATGTTCTAAAAAAGAATTCT